ATACTCAGCTCAGAATAAACCTCATTAAGTAGTTTACAGAGTTTGACTTTTCTGTCAACATATGTGAAGAAATAGCGGCTCAAAATCTTCCAAATTCGGCCGGGCGTGGTGGCTCTCAGCCTGTAATCCCAGCACTTTGGGAGGCCAAGGCGAGAGGATTGCCTGATTCTGGGGGTTTGCAACCAGCCTGGGGAACTTGGTAAGACCTTGTTTCTACAACAAATCACAAAAACCAACCAGGAGTGGTGGCGTGTGTCTATAGTTCTAGCTACTTGAAAGGCTGAGGTGGAAGGATACTAAGCCCAACAGGTCAATACTGGGGGGGCCATGAGCGTGCCACTGCACTCTAGACTGGGCAACAGAGGAAGAATTCAACTTTTAAAAAAAAAGCATTAGCTTAAGAAAATAGAGTAAGTCGGGCTCAGTAGCTCAGCCTGTAATCCCAGCGCTTTGGGAGGCTGAGGTGAGCAGACTGCCTGAGCCCGCAGGTTTGAACCTGCCTGGGCAACCTGGCAAGTCCTCATCTCTACAATAAAATCAAAAAAATTAGCCGGGTGTGGGAGTGCCTAAGCCCAGCAGGTCGAGGCTGCGGTGGCCATGAGCGTGCCACTGAACTCCAGCCTGGGTGACAAGAATGCGACTCCAACTCAAAAAAAAAAAAATCTTCCAAAGTTGATGAAAACCATAAACTGACAGATCAAAGGAACTCGACACGTGTTAAGCAGAACAAACGTGAGGATACGCCCACCGAGGCCCATGGAAAAGAAAAACTGAAAACCAGTGATGAAGAGAAAATGTAGACGCACCCTGAGCACCGGCCCGCAGACTGTCCCGCCAAGGGCCCAGGCGTGAGCATTCGAGGCTTGGCGACCACACACACCGCCTGCAGCACCATCTTCCTCCCCTTGTTTCCTCCTCTTTGTTTTCTTTCAAAAACGTGCTCTTGGCATGGGGGCCACACAGAAGCAGGCTGCAGGTCAGGTCTGGCCTCTGGGCTACAGTCTGCCACCTCTGAATCTGACAAGAAGACGGGTTACAAACGGAAAACAAGACAGAAGACTAGACGCTTCAGAAACAATGCAAGTCAGACACCTTTTATGAAGGAGAGAAAAAAAGTCACTCTAAAACTCCATGTGCAGGGAAAATGAATTTGAGAACCAAAGAGCCCACTGATGGGATATCTGTACTACAAGCAACATGACAGAAAACTCGTCAGGGTGAAGGGAAATGACAGCTGGTGAAAGAAGTTTGGGAACTCAGAAAATCATAACAGCTCCAGGACAGATGTACACCGTAACCCTTTAAAAGACAATTCACCTGCACAGCAGCACTGAAACGCTGAGGAGGGGAGCAGGGGGATCACCCCCAGCAGCGTATCCTCTGGGAGTTCCAGGTTCTGGAAGGCCCTTCCCACCTGGAGCGCCTGCCCACATGCTTCAGCTGGAAGAGCATCCTTCACGACATCCTGGTCCAGAAGGTTATCTGCCATTTCCTTGCTGTAGCTCTCAGTATCCTTCACAAGCTCCTGCAGCCTAGAGGGGCAGCGTGGAAGAACGTGCTGGAAAACATGTCACGGGCTCCCACCTCGAGACCTTGTTGCCTGTCAGGGTGGCCCTGACCACAGAAGCCCACTGCCAGTGCACATCCTGGATATTCTTCATGAAGCCCTGAGACCTGCTATTCTTTGGGGGAAGTAACTGGCTCTTTTGACTAGAGTTTCAAAGTGGTCCATGACCCCAAAAGGTTCAAAAGATCTCCAGAAAAAAAGTCAGCAAGGGGGAGAGCAGTGTAAGCACACACCCCGCCACTGAGGCACGGGCCACGTCCACTTCCTTGAAACAAGTGTGTTCACATCATTTGTCAGTTTTACATTTAAGACACAAGCAGACTGTAAGGGGTGCACGGGTGTGCCCTGAGAGTCCCGCTCCCACACCAGGCAGAGGGGACAGGTGTGGGGACAGGACGCTCAGGGCACACCTTTTAGTAGCGACTGCATTTGGGGGTCATAAGAAGGCATTAGCTGACCAGACTGGTGGCTCAGCCTGTCATCCCAGCACTTTGGGAGGCCGAAGCGAGTGGATTGCCTGAGCCCGCGGATTCGAGACCAGCCCAGACAACTTAGCGAGACCTCGTCTCTACAATAAATCAAAAATCAGCCAGGCACAGTAGCTGCACCTGTAGTTCCCGCTGCTTGGAAGGCTGAGGCGGAAGGATCGTCAAAGCCCAGAAGGTCAATTCTGGGGTGGCCATGAGCGTGCCCCTGCATTCCAGCCTAGGCGACAGAGACTTCAACTAAAAAAAAAAAAAAAAAAAAAAAAAAGTATTAGCTTAAGAAAATAGAACAGCTACCATTTTAAAAGCAGGCAAAGAACAAAAACCCACAGGCCTGGAGTCAAAGTACCAAGCAGGGCCTCAGAAGGGCTCCCAGATGTCAAAGGCCTTCACAGAGAGCAGCAAGGCCAGCTGCTGGCCTGGAAGCAAAGCCCCTCCCCAGGAAGTGCTCCCACAGAAAGCAGAACCGCCACGACTCATGACTGCGGAGCAGGGACCCACTGCAACACTGGCGGTGTGCACGGCAGGAGTGCTCAGGACCAAGCGGCCCGGCCCGCGAACCATTCGCCCACTCCCACCCCAGGCTGCCCGACCTGCTTCTGTGTGGTTGCCGGCAGCTGCCAGGCAGGTGAGATTCCCACCCTCTTTGTTGGGCAGCAACACAGGACTGGACGTCTGCTGGGAGCCGACACTAGGTAGTGGTAGAGGGACACAGTCTGGGGACGACAGTCTGGATGGCAAGGGACCGATGGCCCTGAGAGTCATGAGCCACGAACAGGGTGACATGAGGAGAACTTAGGCCTGGGCTAGCCTGGGTGGAGGCTCCAAAGGGGTGGGGGCAGCCTGCCCTCAGTCCCTGAGTTCTGACACCGTCCTCCCCTACAAGAGTGTCCTCTTTTCCACTTTTACTTATTTCATGTCACAAAAATCTGGGTAAGGATTTCATTTATTTTGTCAGGGACTAACTGTATTCTTGCAGCTTATTTTGCAAACACACCTTGTACTCTTTCTGGAATAAAAGAGGATCTGATACATAAAGCCTCCATTTTTTACAGGATAGCAAAATTATTTTCCTCAGAAAAAATTACTAAAATTCTACAGGGGCGACCACTTTTATTCTGCCAAAGAAAACAAAAAACACATACAAAAACTTTCTATGGATATGATGGTTTCGTGATGGGTGAGACTGTGTCTCCCCCTCAAAGCTGGTCAGCTAAAGTCCTGACCCCAGGGCCTCCAAATGCAACTGACTTGGAGATGGGGCCTTCCAAAATGTCATGAAGTAGACGTGATATCACTAAGGCAGACCCAGCACCAATGTGACCAGCATCCTTTAAGAGGCGATCAGGACACAGGGAGAAGGCATGGTCCACCAGCGAAGAAGCAGGGCTTCGAGAACCAGCCCGGCCACACCTCGTCTTAGACTTGCAGCCCCCGGTCTGCAGCACTCATGCAGTCTAACTAATACGCCCCAAAAGCAACTACGATGCTCAACATAATCATGAGACAACACGTTCACGGAGCACCCACAGCTGACACACAGCTCTGTCTCTTTGGAAGCTGAAATCCTGAATGAATGACCTGAGTTTCAGGACTGGCCCATGGCAGGTCAGAGCAGAAGACAACATGGTCATGGCTGCTGTCTCTCCCGCCTGCTCCCAAGCAGGGCCCTGGACGCCTCGCCAGCAGGGGCTCCAAGTGTGGCCATGATGGGCACCTTCCTCAGAGCACACTGCACGCCTGTCTTGTCTCTGCAGGTCTCCAACTCGTCCAACTTCAAGTCACCAAAGTGACTTATGCTGCACTGAAAGTGCAGTGTTGGCCCTGGAGAGAGACGCGAGTGAGAGAGAAAGAGGAGCAGCGTCAGGCGCGTGGAAGGACATGAACCACAGCCCTGCCCGGCCTTTCCAGGGGCTGATGAGCCGCACTGGCCCACAGCCAGCACCCCAGGGGCCCCCCTCACCGTCTCTGTGAAGGTCTCGCCCAGGAGCAGGTTTCGGTGTGCACCCCACAGAATCAGCTCCTCACCGTTTGACCTCTGCGGCCTGACCACAGGAAAACGATCCAGGCTTCTGCGAGGGAGTGAGCCCTGGGAGTGGAAGAGCATCACGGTCAGGGGGTTAACGATCGGGCAGAGGGCACCGACCAGCTGGGGAATCCCAGCCCCACACACTGCCGGGCACCAAGCCAACACAGGGCTGGCCCTCGCTGAGGGGACAGAAAGATGAGTCTGGGTCTGTGTGAGCACAGGGTTTCCCCGCCTTGGCACGAATGGCACCAGGGCCAGGTGACGGCGTTGTGTCCGGATGGGTATCGAGCAGCATCGCCGGCCTTTCCCTGCAGACGAGGGACAGACAGCAGGGCCCGGGGTCCCATTCTCTGCCCCACAGGATGTTTCTGAAAATGCCTCGGGACAGAAAGGACAGGGCGCAACAGTGACAAAGGTGAGATCTATGCGACAGGACCAGGATGCTCACTGCATTTCACAAGAAAACCTGGGCCCACTATCGTTTTTATTCCTGTCGCTTTAGTTGACCTCAACGTGATGAGTGCTAAAATGCGAAGCGGGGTCAGGAACAAGGCACACAAGGAACACCCTGAAGCAGGAACCGGCAGAGCGACCACCCGCCACACCCCGCCACACCCACCACCTCCCTGCCCACCCCTGTTGCTGAGGGCTGGGGACGAACCTTGGCTCCCCCTCTTGTCCTTGAAGCCCACCGAGGTGAAGCCCGGCAGCAGCTCACTGGAGAGCAAGTCAGGCCCACGGGGCGGGCCTCCTCCTCTGTGACACAAACATGCAGGCCATGAGCGCCAGGTGAGTGCCCGAGGCTCACCTGCTCGAGGTGGCTGTGGGCGCGGCGGCTCTACCAGGACATCGAGAACATGACCATTCCACGTGGCCCACGTCGTATTGCGGGAGGAACCAGCGGACCCGTCCCGAGCCTCGCGGGCCAGGTGCTCCACCTGCCCAGCACGCGCTCCCCGCGGTGCTGTCCATCAAGCTGCAGGCCTTCCCTCGGGCTCAGACACGAAGCTATGGGAGCAGACAGCACCCAGTCAGGTGGGGCACGGTCCCCGGGGGCACCCCCTCAGCGGGTACCTAGTGCGGCCCCCACCCCGCCCCCCACGGATCGAAGGCGGCTGGGATGGCCGAGGGCCCTGAACTCCCGTCACCTCCCAGAGCATTCCTCTCCAGCTTGCCCACCACAAGGCGCTTTTCCTCACACAAAGCGTATGTGCAAGCCC